CTCCAGGAGGAGGAGGCTTTGCCGGCGCCGACCCCGTCGCGGCCATGCTCACCGGCGTCCCTGCTGCGGTCCTCAAGCTGGTGGGCACCACGCAGGCCCCCTCTGTGTGGACCGTGCATCATTGGCGCCGCCCCTCGCCCCGCCCCACCCACTGGCCCCATCCCGCGGTTCGTTATCCAGCCAACCCCTGGGTCCTTGGAGCATTCCCATGCAAGCAAACCCGGACTGTAGGTGCCCTGAGTTGGCAAGTCTTGTGGTGCAGCCCCGACTCTGCCATGCCCGCCACCCCACCATGCTGTCCCCGGGTCCTGGAGAACCACGTCGTCCCTGGCAAGCTGCTGTGACAGGCCGCTTCCTTCAAGAAGCACACCAACCTCACGACCGCCGCCAAGGCCGACATCAAGGTGCACATGCTCAAGGGTAAGCGCCTGGAGATCGTCTACAACCAGGTGCATGTGGACGGCGACCACGATAACGATTCGGACGGCGAGGATATTTCCAGGACCGACCTGACCTTCGTGGGTCCGTACGTTTATATGTCAAGGGCAGCTCCAAGTACATCGTCCAGGCCGTGGACCGCGTTTTTCTGCCCACGAGCGCCCTGAGCGCGCTGAAGGCCGTGCGAGCCGAGAACCTGGTGACCCGCCTGCTCTCAGACAGGGTTCTGTCCGAGCAGCTCGAGCTTGGTTGGGGTTGTGCAGGTCTGCTCAGTAGCCACATGCCCGCCTGATGTGGGGTTGCCAGAGCCAGAAGCGTGGAGTTGTTGGCCGCTGACGGTGGCAGCGGAGTGTCGCCAACAGAAGGGCGATGATGTTCACCCTTGCTGACAAAAGCTGACCCCTGCCCCCCACTCCTGCTCCCCTAACAGGCTGCCGCCGGCAGGCGTCGCATGCTGCTGCTGTAAGCAGCCTCACTGCCTCGTCCCTCGGCCTTCATTTCACGCACACGCTTTGCTGCCTCGCACTTCTCGCTCGCTTGAATACGCTGTCGGATTCTTGGGGGTCACCCCCTTGCCGGCGAGGCGCGCACGGCCGCACGCTGCAATGTCGGGTCTTGCCCCTTGCCTAGGAGCGAGGCAAGGCCCCGGGCCACTTGCCACACATGTGAAGAACGCCGAGCTGTGTGTGTTGCCACGACCCTGGCTTCCTGCAGCCGTGGGTCAGTCTGTTTGGATTATAATCATTTCCTCCTCGCGCCTATGCACCCGATTGTGGATCACACACATGCAACACCACAGCCCTGCATGCATCATGCACAGGGCTGCAGCCTGGCCTGGTCAAAGCGCAGCTGTCTGCCAAACGCAGCGGTTGCAAGAAGCCTGGGCGAGTCACAAACACAACTGCAAAACATGCTTTTGGGCGCTCCAATCAGCCCCAGGGCGGCTGCAGCCTTTCGCACTTGCGCTAGCCCATTCTGTAACCAACGGATCCTCAAGCCAGCCAGAAACATCTTAACAAACAGAAGCGATGTGATCGTGATGCAGCAGCCAGCTGCTACTTGAATAGCAGCCTATTTTGGCACGCTGGGGCTTAGTGACGGTGCACCAGTTGGCTCAGGCCCCGGCCAGCAGCTGGTCTCCGCCGCCCTCCCCTTCATCCTCGTCGTCGCTGCCGCCCAGCAGCGCCGCGAAGCGCAGCGCCAGGGCCGCCGCCTGCGAGCGGCGGTCCTCGTCCGGCAGCTTGGCCAGGCGGTCGCGTGCGCCTGCGTCGGCAGAGGGCAGGGTTGCGTGCCGCGTGATAGGGCCATCCCTCGGACCGACCCAAAGGCCACCCGCTATTTGGGAGCATGACGCGGGGACGAAGCAGGCAAGAGGCAGGGCAGAGTGCGGTCAAGGCCTCGCAAGCAGCACCGCCAGACGGTGCGGCGAGCCGAGCTCATCCGGCATCCTGATCTTAAACCCCGGCGACCCAAAGCGGTCCGCAATCGCATCCACTAACCTTGCAGGTGGTGCATCAGCTGCTCAAAGCTCTCCACACCGGCTTCCATGGCGGCGCCCGCGCCCTCGCGCCC